CAAAAAATATTTGAAATATTTATTCAAAAGTTTAATGTGTTATTTTTGAAACTATAGAGTATCGGCATACATATAAAAAAATAAAAAATTTTGTTTTTTTAAATTCACACTAATTTTGAAATATTCTAGTGAAAAATATAGAGCAAGCTATTTACAAACAACCTAAAAAGTATCTAACAAATCCATCTTTTGAACTTTCGTTATTTCATTAGTATTCAAAATATATCGTAGAAATTATTATAGAAAATATAATAACTCAGCATATATCCAGTCTGTTAATTAAATCTACTCATAATCTTACACACCTAAAAATCATTACGCTCAAAAAATGTGTGTTATATAGACGGCGCCGCAGTAAGGCAATTTCCAAGTAATCTTTATTAAAAATCGTTTTTTTTTCTACCACTCATGACAATTTATGCACATACATATATTAAAATTTACAGAAACAGAGAGCCAAATTTTATTCAAGCTACTCGGAAATTCCAATGATTACACATAAATTATGTCACATATATATAAAAACAGTTGTATGCTGATAGGCATGAACGCGATCACCGACTGATAGTAAATTTAAGATTTTCATCACATTTCAACTGAGAATTATAATTATAAAGTCGAAGAAAAGCCACAGGTGCAGGCCACTTTTAGAGTATGGTAAGGTAAAATTGAATATATAAGGCAAAACAGCGCAATGCAGCATAACTGCGTACTGCTGCAATTACCTGCAGCCCACAGTGAAAAAGCTCAGCATATCGGCAGATGGATCTTTTTTTGAATATAAAATTAATGTAAGCAAAGCCAATAATGAAGCATTAACAATATACATTATTTATGTACATACATAAATATGTATTTTTTATACTTAAATTATTATCTGCCTGCAGCTTCATCACAAAATGCTCGCACACAAGTTCATAAAAGTAAGCGATATTGATCAAGTTGTTGGATTGTTGGTGCAATCAACTAAAATCGTACTGCATCTATCGGTGAGCTGAGTTACTTATCTTGCGTGGTTAAATAGCAGTCTCATCAAATTACTTTCATTGGCGCTTTGACTAGTGTTAGCAACACTTATTACATATGTACAGTATATATGATTGTTATTATTATTATAACTTATATATATATGCTATATGTATTATATCGAGCTCAAGCCTACTTATTTGCGTGTCTACAATCTTAATTGTTATATCTACAATCGATAGACACAGTGCAACTTTTATTTAGTTTGTGATACCTAAGCTATTTGTACCAGCATATGGACCTGTGGGAATGTGAGGCTTAAATTCTACTTGTAGAGCTCAATTTTTGCTGTCGCTAAGTTATAACTTCTACAAGAAGAAAGTGAATTTAAATCATATCCGTGCAAAGTTCAATATTTATGTAATACTAGTTGTTACATACGTAGGAAAGAATAGCTTTTTGTGGAAAGAATATGAGAAATGTATCTAAGAAGTCGTTGAAAATTTCCAGTCGATCGATCACATTTCGGAGAAATTTTCACACCGATCTGAACAAAGGTTTCAGAAAACCGCCTTTAAATTTTGGGAGCTGATTACATAAGTGAAAAAATTCTTATAATACGCTCATATCATCCGAGACTATTTGTTGGCTCAAATCAACTCTTCAGAGATATTTCTCAATATATATATTTCGATATTATAAATTCTCAAGTCCGACTTTTACAAATTTCACTATACTTTGCTTTGAATAGAGCAGATCCAATCATTGAATGTTGAGGTATTTAACTTGAAGAAAATATAAAATACTTGAAATTTCAAACGAGTTCCAGAAAACTCTCACAAACACGCTGCTGTTGAATCATTTCTTCTCTCTTTTCATATGGCCTATTCCTGCAATCAATTGCCTATTGGGTGCTTTCGCAAGCATGCCATTTGTTATTTAATTAAACACAGTTGACAATTGAGGTGCAAGCGTGACGTGAATCACTGTCAGGCTGGGTAGCGTGCTGTGCGGAAATGTATGTGGTGTTACTACTAATTATACTATCTATATATATATTATATAATAATTTAGTATATTAATGTTGTTTTTGTGCTGTAAGTAGCAATTGCAGTAAATACACAAGTTTCTAATCGGAAATGAAAGTTTTTCTTCTGTTTCTTATTTTTACTAGTAGTTAGCTAAATATGAATGTCATATAGTTATTTCTTTAGTTACAAGCCGTAATTTGTCATTCTTAATGCTTTTATTGCTTGAATTTCAATATAGTCGGAAAAAACTTGAATGAAGTTGAGAGAAGCTACGCAACTTTTATTCTTTCTTTATTTACTGATTTTTAATGTGTGTCAGTCAAGCGCTTTGATGAGATTAATCATTCACAAAGTTGCTAGTAAATTTCTGATTGCAAAACTAATAACAAGTTGTGGTGTAAGCACTAGCCCTATAGAAGTCCATCATCAGTTTGAAGACTGACTGGAGCTCCAATTGTTTTTCGTACATATGGAACTGGAACAGCTTTAATAGATTTCAGCTTGTTCATCTTCTCAAATTATATAATTAGTAATACTTGAATAATGACTTTTAGAAATACCGTGGTACCATCTTCTCTTACGATACTAAAGAACAGTTGTTCAGCTGCTATTTCTCTCCATAATCTATATTTTTAAAGCAGATACATTCTTCTAGCTGAATTTTGTGGAGTCATCTAGAGAATTGCGATGATATAAAGTAAAATTGAGCGAAACAGTTGTCTGTGACAAATAACCGATAGCTCAGCACTATCACACAACAAAGAATTTAAATACATTTTAAGTCAGCACGTGGTACTGTGTTATTCTTCACCTGCTTACTCTTTGAAAGACATTTGTATTCGTATATAGCATCTACATCAAAACAGATGCGTGTTTTACTCGACTTTTATTATATTCTAAGGCCATCTGAGAAATTTTTTTTATCGTACGAATTTACCCCCCTGTTTCAGCTTTATTTATAGAATTTGCAATTTTAACTTAATCCATCCAGGCTTTGTCCACCAGATTAATATGTAAAGACACGAAAATCAGTCAAAGATTTTGTTAAATAAACAATATAAAGTTTAATATTTTAATATATCAAGGAACTATTCGAACCCTAATACAGAATATACTCATAATACGACGACACGATTGCAATTTAACTAAAAATCAGTCATAAATTTAGTACATTTATAAGTAGTCAAATCGAAAGAGTAGGCGTCTCATTGCCTCTTATTTCTCTATTTGTTTATATCGATTCTGCATTAGAGATTCTTATTGTTAGTTACTTGTTTCTATCAAGCATTGGAACATTTTCTTTGTCATTACATCGGGCAGCAGTCTAACAGCTTCAATCTCTTTTTAGTGAAGCTTAAGGCAATCGAAGTCGAGTTTTAAATATTTCCAAAATAAATCGCAATTACCAATATGATGTTTTCCGTTTAACAATAAAAACCTAATCGGTTGTTGATGATATCATTTCTGAGTATTCGTTATGAGTATGAGTAGTTACACCGCTTTTAAGCGAGACATCTGAAGTCTCTCTAACTGATAAGCGAATACGAGAGAATGCTACTGCGACTGAATTGCAATGAAATATTGAATTGTTGAGTTCAATCACAGTTGATCATATAAGACAAAGTCAAAAATTCTCGACAAGTTTTTTCTAGAATATAAACAAACAATATAATGTAGAACTAAGAAAGACAAAAAAAATATATAGATATACATTGAAATAAATTTTTTTGAAAAATAAACTTCTGGTACTACTTGTATTGCATCAAAATTAAGTTCATTAAGTCAGGCTAATAATAAACGTTCAGAGAACAAGAATAATACTAGCTGTTCGCCTTGAACTTGGAAAGTAATATAGACAGAGATTGTGCTTCCGTAGCACGCGAATAGCTTATATAAAGATAACTTAAAGTCGAAGAAAAAACAATTCAACCAAACTCAGCTTAGACAAGAGCTTATAACTAGAACTCTATTTGGTATGGACCGTAAAATAAATATAAAATGGATGGAAATATTTTTTATTGTATTTCGGTATGCAATTATTGTAAGCTCATTAATAGCTGCAATGCAACAAATCGAACTTTAACTAGAGAACTTCATTTACATTCTGTTTCCACTCCATCATACTTCGAACATGCTCGATCAAACAAATTTGCGCAGAATTCAAGCGAACCGTTTGCAGCAAAAAGTATTCGCTTGCTCTATAGCTTTAGACCCAAAGCTGCTGGTAACCACAAACTTGGCTTAGTGCAGCAAACAGTTTAAGCCGAAACATTGACGCGTTAACAACGATGAGCGGTTGAAATGGTGATGGTTATTGTTGAAACTAAAAAGTGTTGTACAAAGTTAACAACAACAATGATTTGCAGAAATGAAAGCAAATTAATTATAAACTATAAGTGATGAAGGCGCATGCGCCAACGATGGCTACTAGTGTTCGAGAAAATAAAAATGAAATAAATAAATCATAGAACAAAGCGAAAAAAGTGAAAAATATTATTGGCGTTGAATATTGTTGCTCAATGATTGTTTTTATTATTAAATACCTTTAATCCGAACCAAATTTCAAACCGTCTCATTAAATTTTATATAATTGTGAAAATATTAAAATAAACGTATGATTTGTTTATTGTGTTGAAAGTGATAAACAAAAATTTTACGATACTACGGTAAAAATCAGCCAATACGAAAAGAAATCGATAAAAATAAAGTAGAAAAGCGAAATAGTGTTCGAAGTGTTTTGTATGCGGCACCGCGCACGCGCACGCCAAAGTGCAAATGTAATTGCCATACAATGAAAATAATTAAATAATTGCAGTATTTGCAACGAGAAAAATAAATATGTAATTGCATTCGTCAATTAAAGAATATCAAGTGCAAAACTAGTGCAAAGCAATAAAAATGCCACACAACAAATTGCAACGCAAGCCGTCAGCGAGACGCTTGCCAGCATGGCATTGGATAGCACGCTAGACTCGCGCATGTCCAGCGCCGAAATACCGCAAATGGAATTGGCTCAAGGTGAACTATTGCAACAGTGCAAGGAAGTGCGTATGCCACGACCAACTGCTGCAACGGCGCAACAAAAACGCCACTCACTAATGGCTGTAGTGCAAATATCCAGGCTACAAGGAAGCTGTCGACAACAGTCCAGTCAGTTTGGGGCCAAAGCAATATAAACAATCAAAGTAAAGCAATGTAGGCGCGATCAATGCACCACAACGCGCCGCACCGCTTAAAGCAATATGTCACAACGCTGTAAAGCAACCACTGCCGCCGCCCCACAATGAGTCGTGGAAGTTTTTACAACATCAATTGCCGCAGGTAAAACTCAACATACCAACAAACTCCAACAAAGCTGGCGTGTACTTCCCCTCCTCCTAAATTGCGAGCAGCAAAGCCAACACATGCCACTACTACCGCCAAGAAAGCTGCGCACGCACGACGATCAAGATTACGTGGATGTACAGTCTTGCTGCAACTCCCTTGCGAATCTGCTGACAGTCTACTGCCTCTTCGGATGATGATGTGGATGACGCTTCTACTATATACCCTGATTGCGAGAAATCACATAGTTGGAATTATCGTGCGCGCTCTCCACTGTGATATACGCCGCGATATTGCACGCGCTGGTATTAAGTCGCGCGCGACCGTATAGCGCGTATTGAACAAACCGATTGCGATCCTCACAAACAGCAAAGCACAGCAGTTAGTGCTGCTTCTGATGATAAGCATGCTTCAGCACCGACCGCAGACAGCAATGCGGTGGCAAGCCAATACCGGCAGCTGTAACGCAAATTAATCGTCTCTTCGAACAAGCTAAACGACCGGAACAGCGGCGATCAACAAACAACATCGCGCGCCAGCACCGCCGCATCAAGTAATGCATTACTGCACAAACTAGCATAATAGCGCAACCATTACGGGCTGCGCAACCCCCATAAAGGAACCAATATGCGTATGCGCGCACGTGAAAGTTGCCGCGCATTGACGAGCGTGAGAACCGTTTAAGTAACTCAGCGCGACTAGTGATTGCTATGACTGTGTTTTGGAAAGTAATGTCGCAAGTGAAGATCAAAGTGCGCTTACCGCTGATGTATTGCCCCAATGCGCGCGTCACCTGAACAACGGCAACAAGTGTCGCGCATACCAAAACCCATAAGTGAAGCGCTGCAACAACAACAACCACAACAGCGACACTCTACCAGCTCCGCACGCTTTACAATGAAGCAAATGTGCAACTGCAACGGCGCATACGCCAAATGTTTGATCATGAGCAGGAGCGCACACACCAGCTGCAGCGACAAGTTACCGACGAGTTTCGCATGCAATGCGCGGTGAGAAAATAAAACTGCGCGCCACCAAATCGACCGCATTCGAAGCGACAAAAACCTGAACGTGGAATATGGATAAGTCTGAAAGCTGCATGAGCTCGATAAGCACTTGTCAAAACAGACGCGTCAGCATGTTTCCACAAATTTTCAAAAGATCAAATGGAGCGCGTACATATACGTAAGAACGGCAGCCGTGCTGATAATTAATCAGCTCAATGAGTCAAAGCTGATAATAACGATAGAACATTCGAAGAAAGAGCGCACGAAATGAATGAAATGAATTAAGCGTCACATAAGCTATCGAAGGAGGGCACTTCTAAGCCTACCACGACGCCAGCCGACGCACATGCGGCTACAAGAATTGCACCTTCACCAACTGTCCCATGTCGGCCGCGAGTAACAGCAGGTAGCAGCAGCAGCACGAGTACACCACAGCAATCCGATGAGGAGTTAATACGCGCAACGCCTATCGCTCGAGAGTTGCTGCTCAGACTCTGGCGTTTCCTCTTCCACCGATGTGAAGAGCGCAAAACAATGAAAACAAATGAAGAATATTGAGAAATGCGCAGACTGTGTGAAAATACTGCACACCAAACAAGCGCTGACACAACCGTAATGCAACACAAGCTGAAGCTATCCAGCACTGCGCCAGTGCCAAATTGAGGAACTGGATGGTAACTTGAAGAAGGAGGGACAAATTAAGATACGCGTCGGAAAGCGTCCGTAGGCGATCCAAACGATTTACAAAATTTTGCAAAAAAAATCTCACGAAGGCCACTACGATGAGCTATGACTGCAGCGTGGCGAAAACAACTTGTGCAACAAAGTAGGGCTGTTGATAAGTTGTCTAACCGGACTGTGGCCGCAAGCGCCAGCAATGCCGCCAACCAAACCAAACAATGCAACATCGAAAATGACCTCAAAATCAACGAACAGCGTATTTACAATAACACGAGTTGCTGTAACAGCAACAACAATAATCACAGCTGTGGTGGCAGCAAAATCAACGGTAGTGAACGCAAACCGTTATGTGCTACAACAATAACAATCGATGATAATTGGTTGCAAGATCAACAAAATACCTTTGATGCGGACTCGTTGATGGTGCCACCATCGCCACCACTACGCATTTCATCCAAAGTGGCGAGCGCGCGCCAACCGTATACAAGTAACAACAACAGTAAATACAGTCACAGCGTCATTGGTGATAACGATAAACATAGTGTAAAGATTTTCGTGCGCAGTTCCACAAATAGCGGCGGCGTGGGCGTCAATCCTGCGCGCGCCTCATCCGTATCTATGTGCTCATACACTTCGCAGACCTCGGGCTGCTCAATGAATTCAGAAGCCTCCGCGCTCACTAACGCCAGCAAAGCGTCAACCTCCGGCAGCTCCTACACAACGATTTCGAGTAGCGCTTCAAGTACTGAAGGCATATGTAATTGTCGGCGAGTGAACCGCAACGCCAACGCAGTCACACCAAAAGAGCTGGACGAAAGAGTAGATGAATGTGAGCATACCGACTACTATTGCAGTCTAGAGCACATGCGGAAAGCAGGTGTTTTTTATAATCACATCTCAGGTGCTGCTAAAAGTAGCCATGGCGCACAGAGCGACACGTTGCGCGTATGCGCCTCCTCACCAACACCCTCGATGGGCACCTTCAGTGTGGTTAGCTGCGTTGCATGTGGCGATGAGCGTGAGCAGCAAGCAAAAAGCCGTCAAAGCGGTGGCAGCAGCGGTCCCATTGATGGCGTCTTCTGGAATAACTCATATTTTCAGCAGGACGCTGATGTAACTTTAGAGAGCGCTAGCAATGCGGCATATAAAAAGAGCACCTTAGCAGGCGGCGCGCCAGCAACAGTTGAACACAGCGAACCGAGTAGCGATGACAACGAGCATTGTTGCTGCAGTCTAACAAGCTGCGATGATGACAACTGTTCTTATTATGAGTGCGGTGGCAATGCGCAGACGGATGATGATCATTGCGTGTCGCGGATCGAAGTACACGCCAGCGTACACACGCCAAGTGGCGCTAGTGAAAGTAATAATGACGACTATGAAGTAGCAGCAGACGATAAAAGTAAAAGCGGCATGAACTCAAATGACGTTTGTAATTGTGACGCGCGGCACTACTGTGCTGAGGATACTAACGCAAAAGATAAATATGCGCTCGAGGTAGAACGACAGCGTGTACGGGAGCTCGAGCGATGTGCCGCGCGCCAACAGCAACAGCAGGAACAGCAGTGGTTGCGGCAGCGCATGCGCGAACGCGAACGGCAAATGCAATTCTTACGAAATAGCAGCGCTGAAGAGATATTGATACGCAACAAAAAGTTGTTGAGAAAGGTAAGTGTTTGGTGCGAGAACGTTCGCTAATTCTTTGGCGAGCTTTCGATTGGTTTTGTCTAAGAATACAAAATTTATCAAGGGTGCTTTATTTACATTTTTATAACGCGTTCATATCGAGTAGCTTATAAAACCTAGAAAAAAATTTCGCGACTCACTTTAAAGTTAAGCAGCCCTTAAGTAAAGCTGTACTGAAACCAAACCACCATCACTACTTTGACCCAAGTTGTGAACCAGTTGATTTTATGCTTTATATTATACACCTTCTTTTGCATGTGTATCTACACTTGGCATTTAGTTATTTCCATAAATTCTTTACTGCAATTAACACCAACAACAATTAACATACACACTTGCTACTTGCCGCAAAGCCAATAATTAACCGTCATTTAAAGCCAACGCGTATTCAGAGCGCAGACTCGATAAACTATTTATCACCTTGAGATATGCAAATCAACTTGCACATTTGAGCCAGTTTTACTACTTTTACTAAATGCCAATCTTTTTTCCGATTAATTGTACATGGTTGATTGGTTTTGTACAACAAATTCATGTACGAATGAGTTTGGGATGCCGCACTACGCGTCTGTTAGATAATATTTTTCAACAAGTCTGCATAACGTTATTGAAATGTCTTCAAATGTACATGTTTACCTACGCACAGGGTGTGCCAATAAGCATGATATCGTGTGTAAAAAGACGTTTGTGTCATAGGCGAAGTACTTGCAAATGTTGCTCGGAAGGAGGAACCTTCAAATGTATGACAAATTTTTCTTCAAGTGTCTCTTATAAAGTTAAGCGTTGAATAAGAAAACACTCTATATCAATATGGAAATACTGGTAGTTCGGTATGCTTTAGAACTAATTCGAGAGTGTTTTTCGTATAACAGTTAAAACGACCTAACCAATTTTACCTAAACAGAAGCGAACGTATGGTTCTTCTAAATATGCTCTTACCATAATTCTTCAAATCCAGCGCTCGGCGGGTTCAACAGACATTTTTAAAAAGTAGAAATCTCGTTATTAATCCAGGAAACCACCTAATAATATAATATTATGTTCTCTTCTTAACGATCGATGAAAAAAACTTCCTTTATATAAATATATTTTATAATCAGTGATGAAAGTAAAAAAAGCAATATTTGAACATTCACTAAATAAACGTAATAAAATAGTCGACCAGACTTGCATAATACCGTAAATCAAATGCTTTTTTGACAGTTTAATATATGTACTTAACTGACTTTCCAAACCTTGCGGAGTGGCACTACGGTGGCACCAATAAATTATAGAGAACGCATAAACTGAATAAAATAGAGTTCGAATAGAAAGTGATTATACCACTTTAATGAGGCAAGAACAATAACGCTTCTATTAAATAACATTATTGTTGATTTAATAAGAGAACTTCGTATCGAGATTCGTATCTACCTTTTCAAACCTTCAATATTGGAAAAGTGAACCAATAAATTATAGAAAACACATTAACTGGTATAACAAAAAAGAGTTCGAATATAAAGTGATTATACCACCACATTGAAGTTACTCTTCTATTGAAAAACATTTTGGCGTAGAGTTGCCAAACAAACTTCGCTGTTTCCAATAGAATATTCAGGTTGTCTAGCATATATAGGTATCTGTCGGCGAGTGGGAAGCTGGTTGGGAAAGTATTTAAAAATTACTCTTGAAAAGTATTTGTGAAGCTTTAATTTCTTTATTCATGTTATGATATAGAGCTACCACTTAACTGAATATAAAATTGTATCATTTTTTCAAATGTAGAGTCTTTAAGAAAGAAACACGAAAATGTTTTGGAAGAAAAATGTCACTTGCCACAAAAAAAATATAATAACAAGTATCGAATAAAATTTAGATCGGATAACATCTGTCAGATCTATTAGCACTTACATAACAAGTGCTTTCATATGTATTAACATGTATAGTAAATTGCCTACTATAAAAATTTACGCTTTGTGACTTAAATAATTGGACCAAAATGAAATGAAGCAAAACGTTATAAAATTTTATGCATCATGACATATCAACGACAATATATGATGAGGATAGTATTTACTATATTGAACACTTTAAATTGAGAAAAAAATTAAAATCATTTTCAAATAATTATATAAGATAAAATATATCTAAAATTTGTATTCAGCAGATAAGCATCACTTTCAAAACAAATAGTGGAAAGTTGAAATTATAAAATATTAAACAACAGCAAAGTAAAGAAGTAAAAGTATTTAAGTTCAATTACTGCAACAAAACAAATGCAGTACAGCATGCGCGTAAGCGATTTTCGCAAGTGATTTGAAGTAAAATTAAAAAAAATTTAACCGGAAATCAGCGAAATTCAAACTTAGTATGCAGCGAATAAAAACTGCCGAATTTAAAGTATAACGAAAGCGAATGTGTACAGTGTGCAAAATTACCAGCGCTTCAATAATTAAAAAAAAAACCAACAAATATATTTATATAAACAAATAACGCACAAGAAACACGACGCAGCTAAAAATACAAAAAGTTTTGGCAAAAATTAAAAAAAAACACACTCGCTCGCATTACGCTACCTTCCATTTTTAGGGATGTCTGCAAAAAATGCTAATCGCGTGCAAATAAATTATTACTCCTGCATACTAGTCGGTTATGTGTTTTATAGTCATTTGCGTATTTTTATGCTTAACTAGTTTACAACTATGTTGCTTTCACGTATCACAAGCGCATCAAATCATCAGACAACGATGTTCAGACAAATAAGTCAGTTGGATTAAGCGGCAGTGTTGTTAAGATGACGCGCTTGTCTTATGAAATCTGTGAAATCTCTACGGAAAGGCAAAAAATGCGGACTGTAGC